AAACTACAAGAAGATTTGTATTTGAATGTGAAAAGAACTGTATTTGTTACTTTTCCCCATTAAAACGTAATACCATAATAATTGTCTATCCAGTGAGTTTTTATAACCGTACTATCATAGTTTGCCTGTAGCGACGTTCTTCAGGCGTCGAAATGAGATGACACTTGTCACCCCGGGGACTGTAGCTAGCAGTCAGGGCGCGGGATCATTAGTCCCGTATAGATCTATACACACTTGTCACGTTCCCGACGGGAGATTCTGGTTATAAACAGGACTTCTAGTGGTACCTTAAAAGGTATATTGAAGATGAATGCCTCACGAATTCTCAATTAAGTCCCGTATTAAAATGTATATGTTTGTTTCTGAAATGATTATCCTTTTTCACAATGTTAACAAAGGCATAATAAAAGGTGGATGTTCTTGTATGTATAAAAGATGTCATAACGAAAGTGGTTACCCTTTATATGATGCTAACGTATAAATAGAGCTTATGATATTTATACTTATGTTTTACCCGTGAGGGTAAAGTAAGGTAAGATGTTTTGTATGTTAGACATGATCCATATGATAGTTATTAAAAACAAATCTGAAATGTATAATGAAAGATAGATGTTTTCAAATGGGGTTGACCGTGTGTTTACTTGTATTCCCCCCCGTAAAGAGTTCAAAAGCATTTAAAATCAGTTAAAAGCGTAGAAATGGGGGTATGAACTCACTTTATAGAAGTGGTGAGTTGAAGAAGGCGAGACTAAACTCGGGCAGTACTTCGACTGGAAAGAAGCAAGTTCCTCGGGAACTACGGGACTTCGAGCCTTGCGTCGTGTGCTAGGGTTGTTTTCGGGGCTTCGGGGTGGTCTCGGGATGCTTAACACATAGTAGAAGTGGGAGAGAGGATGGGGTTGAGCAACCAAAGTCGGAAGGCTTAGATTTCTATATATAGCCACCATTTTGACATTTACGTCGTGAGTTTTGCATAACTCACGTCGTGAGTTTGGTCCCGAATCTTCATGGCATGCGTCACTCGTCAACTTGCTCTGGAAGGGTCATTCAGACTGTTCACGTCGTGAACACTGACAAATTCTGACACAGCGTCGAAAATCGTGCCTCGAACTTCAGAAATTCATATCTTTCGCATACGAGCTCCGTTTTTGACGTTCTTTATATCCATGCGTAGGTGAGATTATGCTCTACAACTCTCGTTTAGACTTCGTTGGCTAATTTTGACTTTATTTTTAATATTACATTTTTAACAGGCCGGGACAGGAAAAGTCCGTTAAAAATCCATAACTTCTTCATTCGATGTCCGTTTTCGTCAGACTTTTTACCGTTGTAATACCATTGATGAGATCTTCGATTCTCATTTAGGTCATGTTGGCAAAAAGTCGCTCGATCTCTAATTCGAGTTTTTAGCTGTCTACTGCTATGTCCGAAACTTCGAAAAATCATAACTTCCTCATACGAAGTCAGATTTGGGCGTTCTTTTTATGTATGTTTAGGGTTTAATGATATCTATGACTTTCATTTAGATACCTGAGGCTAAAAAGTATTTTATCGGAATTTCGCATTTTACGCTTAACAGTGTTTTGTCGGTTTTGTTGCGGATCTTCGATTGGTCATAACTTCTTCGTTATAACTCGGATTTTAGTGTTCTTTATATTTTTGGAAACCTAGATACGATCTCTATCACTTCATTTATCCCAATTAAGGTTATTGAAAAATTTATTTTTGACCTAAATTTTACTGGTGTTACAAAATACCATGCCGGATCCATGATTGTAGAGGAAGTGGCAGCCTGAGCCACATGTGCTTGACGAGTGGAATCACGTGGGTTGGGTCGTCTGGAGGGATAATCAGTTTGATTATTACGCTGCCGACAGTCGATGGCCTCATGACCAGGTCTAGTGCACAGTTGACACATGGGACGTCGTCGACGAGAATCATTGCTGCTATTTGGAGATGCAGTGTTGGAGCTGCCACCATGGGGTGAGAACCGGGTAGAAGAGCGATGAGAAGCAAGAGCAGTGGAGCCTGAGAGAGGTGAAGCAGGTGTGGTTGCTGGAGTGAGGACATGGACATGACGATGATGTTTCTATTCAAGTCTTGCCTCTTCTTGAAGAAGAAACCCGACTAGATCATCAACTGTAGTGACATCTGATTTGAGCATGAAGGCAGTGGCAAAGGCAACATAAGATGAGTCCAGACCACTGAGAATATGACCAATTAGATCCTCCTCTGGAATTGGTTGAAGTTGTTCAGCTAACGAATCTGCAATTGACCTTTTGCGTTCAAGGTATTTGATCATTGAAAGGGAGCCTTTGGTGAGCGTCTGTAGTTGTAACTTCATCGCCATCCGACGGGCTGGGATTTGAGATTGGAAGGTCTTCTCAATCGAGGTCCAGACCATATGGGATGAGGAGGCCCAAACAACCAGGACTAGGGCGTGTTTAGAGAGGGTCGATTTGATCCAAAGAAGCACAAATCGATCTCGCTTTTTCCAGGTAATAAAATCGGGGTTGGGCTGAGGTATACGTTCTGTTTCTGGATTGTCGACAGAGACTGTGGGCATATAGGTTTCCGGTGGCGGATTCGGTTTTAGGATGAATGATTCTAGGTCAAACGTCTCTAGAGCAGAGATAATAGTAGAGTGCCAGAGGGAATAGTTATCGCGATTGAGTTTGATGTTGATTGGCGGGATTTGGAGATTTAGGAGGAGGCTGTGACATGGGCCAAAAGAGACTGACTGGAATTGGCCATGGAGGAGAAGAGAACGATGAATTAGAAAAAATAGCCAAGCTCTGATACCATAAAGAGAAGCGATGCTGTATTTGTATTGATATCAATCGTGTATGAGTACATAGAAATACAAGATATATATACAGTAGAATATATACTGTATACAGAAGACTAGGAAGGCTAATTGAATACTTCAAATTAATGTTGAACAAATAATAATTCAAATCTCATAGTTTCAAATTAAAGAGAGAGATAGAGAAAGATGTGTAGACGACATACCAATAAACCCTAACAGGTCCATCGTCGATATTTATCGTATGAGCTTGAGTTTGATCTTTAATGGAGATCAGTTTCAGTAAGACGTGGCGATGAGTACTCCGTCGATCCACCATCGAAGGATTTAGGTCTTCGACGATCACTGCTATAATCGAAGATGAACACGACCGACATCGATCTCTTGGTTTGTGAATATGTCGTCGATGATTTGGAGATTAATGATGGCAGATTGTTAATTAGTAGCCGCTAATTGCAGAAGTAGAGGTGGTTGATCAAGCACGACAGAGGAAAGTAAAACGGTACCGACGACGATTGATCCATTGCGCCGATTTGGACGAACGATCTGAATCGGGGAAAAGAAATCTTCGTGAGAAAGTATCTATGTGTGTGTGTGTTTGATACGAGAGAGACACAATTTGGGAAAATCAATTTGATTTTTAGGAGTTTAACTTTTAGGATATATTTTTTCATGCCGATATTACCCCTAAGATCACATTTGCAAAAACCTAATATACCACTAGATTTAGTCATATTTACAACGTATGCCACTAATGATCTAATCTGTCGGGTTCTCGGGAAACTATGAGTTCTCAAATGATCTTTCCTCTCTCTCTCTATGTATATATATATATATATATATATATATATATATATATAGGGGTTAGAGAATATGTGGCTGTTATGTACCTAAGCTTATATATAGAACCCTCCAAACTGTATAATTTTGATGCATATATATCCAAACTAATCATGATATTTCGTTCACTAATATTCCTTGATCATTTGACCTACTAAACCGATCGAATCTGTGTTTCTTCATTGTGTCTAAGAACTTAAAGCATTAAAAGCCATAACTATTTATGCAATCATACTAAACTTTAAATGAAAAAAATAGAATGAAGATAAAAGAACATATGATAACTCAATCAAGGTTTTTACAAATCATTGGATATAGTTTTCAATTGAAGCACAAAATATTTGAGTTATATTCATTAAAAAAATATTGTTTTTTTACGTTCCTTATAAACTTCAATAAAATTTTGCAATAAAAAGATATATAATTGATCTTTTTCATTCCATAATTTAACTTAATTCAATGATATTATATTAAAACAAAATTTAGTGAAACTGAAATTGGATTTGTTTTGTTTAAAACTACATTGTTTAAAAGGTTCTATACCTAAACGTAGTATATATATATATATATATATATATATATATATATATATATATATATATATATATATATATATATATATAAATAAAAGAACATCTCCAATGGTTCCATTATAAATAAATGTCACATCACTATTCCACTAATCTTAGACATAAAATATACTCCAATGGTTAAGCTTATTTAAATTGTTTTTTTTTTCTTTTTTTTTTCTTTTTTTTTAAATTTAATTAATTTATCCTTATTTTTCTAAAATGTTTAATAAAACATTCTCATTTAATTAGTCTATTTTTTTTAACAAAAATAATTATTTAATACGTGTATATAAATAAAAATATATATCAGTTCATCATTATTTATGAAAATAAAACACGAAAAATTATTATGTTATAGTTACAAAAATTAAATAAAAACATCGAAAATATTATAATTAAAAGAGCTAAATTGAAATATTGCAAAAATAAAAAGGATCATTTGTATAAGTTGTGAAAGTATATTGATCGATTAAATACGTATTGAACGGTTAAAAAAAAACAAGATTTTTCAATGATATTAAACGCACAAGTGAATAAGGTTAAAAAAAAAAATAAAAAAAAATTCAATGATATTAAACTCTCATTCCTCATCCATCGGGTTAGGTTACCCTCTATTTGCCTGTTTTAGAAAATGAAAAGTTATAATTTTTGGAGATGCTCTGAGCTATTTATTGTAAAAATGACTTAAAGTACTTACACGGAAATGTAAGTCTGTTTTAGCAACTCACTATAAAAGATGGAGGACGATTAGGGTTTCAGCAACCATTATCATTATTTGAACAATGAAGAAAATCGTGAAATCCCGCAAAAAGAAGAATGCAGATGCTTCTTTATTCAGTCGTTTACCAGACGAAATCATCCTCCAAATCGTAAACAAATTAATTGATTTGAAAACCCTATGCTTTTGCTATCTGGTTTCCAAACGTTTGTCCTCTATTGTACTTCAAGTCGATACCATTTCATTCACTGCTCCATTAGACCCTAACATTCCCGATAAGAACACAATCAGTGATGTCGACCCAAGTAGGCCGAATCCGCCTAAACTTTCTTCGTTTTTTGGTGAGTCCTTTCTATCTGCCAATGGGTTTTTAAACACGTTTACAGGGGTGAAGTCCTTATATATGGAATTTCCATCTTTCGGTCACAGAGATATTGATAATAATTGTTTGTTCAAGTGGAAGGTTAAGTTGGGGCACAAAGCTCTATCGTTTATATTTCTGTCGCCGAGTTCAATTTGTGATAAGGATGGATTGTATCTTAATGGAAATGTGGGTGAAGAAGAAGACCTCGAATTACTCAGTGATTTACTTAAGAATAAGCTTGCCATTTCGTTTCAGTGTCTGCAGGATGTGATAGCGTGGTATGTGATGTTGTTGCACCTCCTTAATAATCTACCAATGTTGGAAGAGGTTTCCATTACTGATTTAGGGAGAAGAGGGAGGCTTTCTCTGAGTGGGAAAAAACTCAGAGAGGTGAAGGAATGGGTACATTCAGCTTCAGAAACCGTGTTCGATCGTGTAGAGGTTCCTGATATGGTGAGTAAGTGTTACATTCCTGTTTTGAAATTGCCAGTTTCAGGGTACGTGATGAAGGGGGTATTTTGTGCTGTAATGGAGATGAAAGATCTACATGGTGAAAATGATAATGGACTTTTGGATAGTGAAAATGGTTTTGAAGATAAAGAAGAGGCTGCATATATTGAAGCTATGAAGGAGGTTTTGGAGAAGGATAATGGCATGATGCAGAGGTTTATGTAGTATGAATCAGGTCCATATATACTCTGAACCTCAATATTCTTGTAAGGTTTATATCTTAGTCTTTGCTTTTCTACCATACATGTTTACTTAAAGATTACTGTTTAATTCCTCACCCTTGAACGTTTCTATAACATAGTTTTTCTTTGACTGACATTCATCACAACTTCTGGAAGCGACTAATCACTTGGGTTTCATATTAAGACTCTTTCTCCTTTGCAAATTGCAATTGAATATCTATAAAGTTAGAACTTGTCCTTTATGTATAGTCAATTAAACAAGCGAACGTAGTCTCAAAGTCTTGTTTTGAAATTAATCAGGAATCAATTTGAGGAAAACCAAAAAAAAAAAAAAAACCCAAAATCTCTTGTAAGATCCCAAGTGTGGTAAATATGATTATCAACTCCAGAATGTATTTTGGAAGCCATTAGTTAAGCTGTTAGTTTTAGGGAGAAACTTTTATTTAAGAAAAGTTTAAAATCCTGGAAGTAAGAAATGGAAGTCTAAAGTACAATGCTAATAAAATGTACATTTTAATTAGTAAACATTAACTTTTAGAAGCTAAGGTGTACAATTCAAATGATAGTGACTAATCATTTACATGAAAAGAAATATATGTCATCACCCAAAAAAAGTAAAAAAAGAAGCTTGCAAGAAAACCATACTACTCGTTGAGCTTAATAATTCATTATATGTGTATGAGCTTTGTAACTCAAGTTATGCATATATATGAAATGTATTTTCAGGGAATTCAGCAAGCTCAAGTAACAAGTAACATGGGATAATATTTGCTAGAAGATGGAACGATTCTATAGAAGATATATAGGGTTTCTCGAAAATTATATTTCCCTAGAAAGATAGCTAACATGTATTAGTATGTAAGAGCTGTATATGTTATAAATCTGTCTTCATTAGCCATAAAGTCGTATGTAGATTGAGTCGTTAGCTTGCCCCATGTGCCTTGCACATGAGGGCATTTTGGTCATTTCCCCTTGGTCTTCTCAAGACATCATCTTCTTCACCCAGAACCGCACCATTCACCCACCTTTATTCCCTTTGACCTAACCCTTCTCCATCCATCACAATTCCCGCCTTCTATCATAAACCATCCTGATTCCTAATCTCCACTATGATCAGGTATCATTTATCTGCTCGTTTAGTTTGGAGTTACATATATTACCATTTGTTTATTAATCACCAAATTAATTGTGGAAAGAGAACATGGTTTCACGTTACTCTTCATCAACCCAGTCTCCTTTAAAATCATGCACAATCATCGTTTGTTCTTATATCTATCCGTGGATCTGAAAATTATTCACTATTGATGTATCGATTGAAATTATATATAATTACCTCTATTCGGTTATTGCTTTGCAAAATTCATACCGAGTAGCAGTGTTTTTAGGGTTTTCTTGGTGTTCTTCATTTGAATCTCTTTCTCTAGATTTTTGAAGTTGTTTCTCTGGACTTGAAGTTTTAATTTGAAATTTGTTTATGTTAATGATTTATTGAGGTTTGTTAAATTTCGTTGAGTATCTTGAGTATATAGTGACTTTAATTTTAGCGGGTATATGATGTTTTCGATGATGATAATGTTTTGATAGAGTTTTGTCTTGTGGATGGTGATAGTCGCTGGTGGTGTTCTTGAATATTGAGAGATGAAGAGGGGGAGAGGTATACGGAGATAAGGGTATTTTAGATAATTCATATTTTGTTTTTTATATAAAGACTAAAAAAATAAAAACAAAGAGTATTTTTATCATTTCACAAACACTTACAGTTTATTAATAAAGTTAGTATCAAGGACCATTGGTGTGCTAAATTTTGTCGAAAGAGACCATTCATACAAAAAATTATTTCATAAGGACTTTTTTAGCGACAACTAAAATCTTTAAGACTATTTATGAAATTTTGTCTATGATAAATAAAAGAAGATTAGAAGATTTTTAAATGAATTGTTTGTATAGGTGGGTCCTTACCTATACTCTCTATTTTTAATAGCACCCAACAATATGGGATTACATTACACCGACGATAAAGTTGCGTTTAGTTGCGGAAAAACAGTTTTCATTTTCTGTTTTCCGTTTTCAGTTTTCGTTTTCCGTTTTCCGTTTTCAGTTTTCATTAGAAAGTTTAGAAAACGCGTTTAGTTAAATTTTATTCATTTTTCATTTTCTATTTTAGAAAATTAGAAAACGCGTTTAGATGTGTATTTTTCTATAAGTTTTCATTTTCTAATTATTGTTATTTTAACTAACATCACACAAACCCGCAACACCACTCACACTCCACCCCACCCACCCCAACCTACCCTACCCTACCTCATCCCACACTACCCCACCCTGCCAACCCCTACCCCACCCTATCCCACCCCACTTCACCCTACCTCATATCGATCCGAGATTAATCATCCATGGTTACCAAATCATTTCAGGTTGCTATCAGTGGGATACTAGAAAGTGAGAAGGATTGGGAATCCTTCAATTCTCACGTGCAGTGAAGACTTAGTCAAATCTAAGTGGGGAAGAGACTTTTTATAAAGATCTCCAACTGTGAGTTCTGGTTGCGCAAGGTGCAATCTCTTGGCCACCTTGTCAACCAGAAGGGTATTCTAGTTGATTCGGCCAACATAGAGGCCGTGATGCAGTGGGAGATTCCGAGGTCTCCATCTGAGATTCGGAATTCCCTGGGTATAGCGGGTTATTACCGGAGATTTATACGGGGCTTCTCCGAGATTGAGGTTCCTTTGACCCGACTGACCAAGAAGTCGATGGCCCTCCACTGGGGGCCCGAGCAGCAGACAGCCTTCGAGGCTCTCAAACAGCGGTTGTGCGAGGCACCGATTCTCACCCTGCCAGAGGGTGTAGATGATTTCGTGGTTTACCATGACGCTTTGATCACGGGCATGGGTACGGTATTGGTACAATGGGGTCACGTGATAGCAGGTTTCGGGAACCAGGTTAGAGTTCCGGTTAGGACTCAAGTTCAGTTGAGGGTTAGGTCGAGTGTGTGTTCGACCCGGTTTGGAAAGTGTTGTAAGACTACGGGAGGTAGCCGTAGCATTCACTAGCAGTCAGATAGTATGGAAAGTGTTGTAAGACTACGGGAGGTAGCCGTAGCATTCACTAGCGGTCAGATAGTATGGAAAGTGTTGTAAGACTACGGGTGTAGCCGTAGCATTCACTAGCAGCAGATAGTGTGAGGGGTGTTGTAAGTCTGCGGGTGTAGCCGTAGCATTCACCAGGTTGGCAGATAGTGTTAGAGTGTTGTAAGCCTGTAGGTGTAGCCGTAGCATTCACCAGGTTGCCAGATAGTGTTAGAGTGTTGTAAGTCTACGGGTGTAGCCGTAGCATTCACTAGCAGCTAGATAGTATTAGAGTGTTGTAAGTCTGCGGGTGTAACCGTAGCATTCACTAGCAGCTAGATAGTGATAAAGTGTTGTAAGTCTGCGGGTGTAGCCGTAGCATTCACTAGGTTGGTAGATGGCATGAGCGTGTTGTTAGAACGCGGAAGGAACAGTGGTACCCACCAGTTCGGGTGCAACATTGAGGACATGGAAATCCACGGATTGGATTTCGGAACTACCCAGATGGATTAGATCTGGTTGAGCCAGTGATAAGACTGTAGGAGTGTCACTACATTGATGAGATCAGGGAGGCAATGGACTGCTTAAGGTTGTTTGTGATATAAGGCTACCATTGGTTAGGTAGCAATCACTTTTATTCTTGGATTGGATGATGACAGGATTCGATGCACGGACCCGATCGGTTAGGTCAGGAGGTTGTTAGAGCCACAGTGACATGATAACTAGTGGCAACTAGTTCTAGAGAAGGTTTCGTTCAGAAGTCGTGTGAGGCGACTAAGTGGGAGTCCATTGGCTCCGCAGCCGGGCAGGAACCCGATATTTTAGATAATTAGTGAACGAATGGGGACCAGGGAGGTCTCATTAGGTTTTGGAAAACAACCGTGTGGCAACATACTGCTTCAGGCAGTTCAGTGTTCAGACAGTTTTAGCGTTTGGGCAGTGTTAGTATTTGCGTGGCAGGTTGCAAATACGGACGAGATAACAGATTGTTTGGGTTATGCTAAGTCAATCACAGCGGGATTATCTGAGCGTTAGCCGAGTATAAGTGACCTGCAGCAATAATTGGGTCTGTGATTTCCGTTTTCTAGTGCGAGCCTCGAGTTATCAGAAGTTGAGTAGCCCATTTAAAGGATTAAGTGGACTGGGTTCAACGATAATGATTCAGAATGGGTGGTCTGTTAGGGATTCAGACCATCTCGAGACAGCAGATTCAGACTAAGTGGAAGTGAACTTGTTACGAGGGATCCGTCCACCTATAGATTTTAGGGCCTTGCAGAGATTGGTCACAGCTACCTTGGGAAGGCTAGGGTGTACCCTGGGATGGTGACCAGGTTACTAGAGTGGTTGGGTGTGTAGGGAAGGATAAGGAATGATTTCGAGGACGAAATCTAATTTAAGTGGGGGAGAGTTGTAACACCCTGTTTCTTTATTAGATAAATAAATTAATTAATGAGCAAATGGTAGCCCAAAAATAAATAATTATATATCAAAGGATGGTCTCGAATGGCTAATTGTCACAGTTCTGGAAGTCAGGTGTTAAAAATGTGAGTTCCGGACTTAATTTGTAAGTATTTATGAGGTCAGGGGCTCTGTGGTAACTATTTGGGTCTAATTTAAAAGGAAATGAGATGGAAGGGCAGAATATGTCATAATTAAGATATTGGGGGCTGTTTGGTAACTTTCGTACCTAATTTGTAAGGATTTTAAGGCTGAGGGTCTAAATGGTAATTATCGGGTTTATTTTGAAAGGAATGGGGAAGGGAGGGACCACTTTTGGCGTTATGGAAATTATGTTCACGGGGGATCGGGGTATATAACCCGTCACCCCCCAGTCCACCCTAACCCTAACCGATAGAGCGCAGCCGCCATCATCGGAGTCCCCTAGCCGCCACTCTCTCCACTATCATTCCCAGCCGAC